ATAAATTAAAAATTTAAATTGATTGAAATAATTAATAATAATTAATAATCGGAGCACTAATGCATTCCAAATTTCATAATACTTTTGAAGCAACCTATTTTGCAATGTGACTGGAGAACAAAACTGTTATCATCCATCTAATAAAACTAAAAATTTAAGACTTTTTTTAAAAAAACCCTGACTTCAATACTAGACATAGATATAGTTTGAAATGGTAGTTAAACTTTTGCTCATACATATTTACTAAAATGTTGTATTGCATATTCTATTCATAATTGCAAATATTTCAGACTAACTCAAAAAGAACTATTGAAGTTACTATAGCAACTGCCAAAAAGAGATTACTGTTATCATACTGGCCACTTAAACTATATATCACATACAGATTTGGGACCAGATTATGATTTCACTTATATCTGTAAAAATCCTTTGATAATTAAAAGCTTTGATCAATGAATTGGTCTAAATTACACTAATTCGAATGAGAAACAAGTCAACTCTGCCAGAAGATTTTCTTTCTCACTGTCTTTATTAGTTGAGCTCCTTTTAAAGTGTAAGAATCCCTGGTATTAAAATAAAATGTTAGTAAGCACTAGAATTCAGAACCAGACAAATGTTTTGAAAAGAATTAGGGCTGAAATCTGTAATGGCTATGTAACAGCCATACAGAAAAATTCCTAGGCATTGCAGAGAATCACAACCTCAGTACGTATCAGCAACAGCAGGCCAGTGTGAAGTAGGTACGATTTACCCGAGGGTGTACAACCAGGACTATCAACCCTCATAAAAACATTCTCTCAGACTAACCACCTTCACAAAGGCCTTGTTGGAAGTACATACAACCAGTTTTGGACATCCAACCCTTACGATCACTTGGCAAAGATCATAAAAGAGCAATAAATCTAAAAAAACCTATGATGTACTGGAAAAAAAAAAAAAAAAGAACAGATTACATCTGGTTTGCCTCAAAGAGATAAGAATGAGAGACTACGATAAGAGTTTTCAGACACATAGAACAATGCTGTACAGTAGAAGAGTGTATCAGTTCTCCATGTCTACAATTGATGGGAAAAAAAAAAAAAATATTTCATTTCATTAAAGGAGATTTGGTTTAGAGAAATGATCTAATGATAGAAATAGGAAGCATTGAGACAAACCAAGCCAGGAAAAGAACTTTCACTGCTGCAACTCTAATTTTATAGCAGACTATCTAACTATCTTCCGGGAATGACACTGATAGGTAATTACTATGTTTTCTATTATTTTTCATATCACCATCAGGACTCCTCTACAGTAAAAAAAGTACAGCTCCAGTAAAACATTATTTTTAAAGACAAAGTACATCTAATTTAAAATTGAAAGTGTGTGTGGGAGTTGGATTTTTTTTTTTATTTTTTTGATTTTTGTTGGGTGTTTGTGTTTTATTTTAAGTAATCATAGAATCATAGACTTGTTTAGGTTGGAAAAGACATTTAAGAACATCGAGTCCAACCACAAACCTAACACTGCCAAGTCCACCACTAAGCCACGTCCCTAAGTGCCACATCTACGCGTCTTTTAAATACCTCTAGGGATGGTGACTCAACCACTTTCCTGGGTAGCCTGTTCCAATGCTTGATAACCCTTTCCGTGAAGAAATTTTTCCTACTATCCAATATAAACTTCCCCTGGCACAACTTGAGGCCCTCCTTTGTGAAGGCTGGACTAGAAATATTCTGAGGCCCCATCCAACCTGAATTATCCCGTGACCCATATAAAAATGTGCAATAGTGGGAAACAAAAAATACAAACATTTGAAGAATCAGAAATGATGATGTCAAAACCAAAAGATGACTGCTCTTGTACCATGCTATAAAACGACTATGCGAGCATCGTTTGAAAGGACTATTATTATTATATGCAGGAAAAGAAGAAAGTGAAAGATTTACATGAATGACTTAAGGATTATCTCCTTTGTTTGACTCCCCTCAGACTTGCACGATTTCGTTTCCAATTTTTAAAACAAAGAATGAAGTGGGGGTTAAAATGGAAAAGCATACATACAGCAAATGTCAGAATGCTCATCACTGCCATCCAGACAGTCATCATCCCCATCACAGAGCCAGCGATCCTGGATACAGCGCTTATTGTTACACTGAAACTGGTCAGCTTTGCACAATTGTGGTAGCACTTCCCCATGTTTAACTAGGAAAAAATATCCAAGAAGCACATATATTTTATCATCTTGACACATACAAAATGCAATACTACCTCTACATAAATAGATACAAATTCCTGTTATCACTCTTCAGAACAGTTTTCAGTAAACATTGCATATTTGAGGTAGTTCCACCTGAAGCCTGTAGCAGCATGCATATCTGAGTGTATGGTTGAGGTAATATATTTTTAATAAATGGAAGAACTCGGAACAGAATGGCACTCAAACCATTTTTTTAAATTGGTGCTTAGATGATAGTGTAAACACATCAGTTTAAAATATTGCAACGTCTCATCAACAGTGAAAAGAAAATATTCTTACAAATTCCGGTGCACGTTAAAGGCTAGATTAAAAACTGATTCCTGTATCCAAGCAACAACTCAAACACCTGCATTATGCACTGGTACAGACTCAGCAAAGAAGAATGAAATTCTACTCAGGTAGAATTAAGTAGCAAGCTACAAGCTTATTGCTAAATACAGATACATTTGTCAACAAAAACTTCAGAATGCTTAATGTGTCAATATCACACGTCACTCTGTGACCCTATGAGGAACACCAAAGTCCTTGGAAAGAGCTGGGCAATGAAGTGCTTTGAGGAAAGAGCAGGAAACCTGCTTTGTTCAGATCTGAGAGTGTCTAATCTCTCTTCCTAATGCTTACATTCCATCTTACCAGTGAGAAGTCCACCTTCCAGTATTTTCTGCTAAAAAGAAAAATAGTTTTCTTTAGCAACAATGATGGCTCTGCCAGCCATGCATTTGGGTCAAATTCAAGGTAACTGCAAGGTCAGTAATGTTCATCATGTTATGAAATAATCCTTATGCTTTACTCATCTCTGCTAGGCTTATTACTGGACACCTGTGCAAATTTTTACCCACTACACTTCGAAAAACAGATCAATGAGATTAAAAAAAAAAAAAGATAATTTTGTGTAAATTACAAATATCAAGTCTAAGCATTTTAAAAAATACTTGTATTATTTGATAAGTTGTTATTTTTAATTGAAAATCCCACATTTTATTATTAGCACTTTTTTTTTATTTGGCATTTCAATTAAGATATCCAAGGAAGAGAGGCAAGAAAAAGCAAAATTTGTGTAGTATGTATCAGGGCCTCTTATATAGAAATGTATCTGCTTTACATGTTTTATGAATGGTTTCAGCATGAACATTTTCTATGCCAGAGTTCAATTTAAGATACTTAGTCCACATTTTAATCTGAAACAGGTTTATATAGATTTAATCACAACATTTTCTGGTATTTTTGACATTCTTTAAAAGAGGTTAGTGAAATATTTAAGTGTTTTATCATACCAGAAGTTCTGAAATATTTTACAATGTGTTTTATCCTCAAATATTCTGTACTTAATATTTTGTCTTTTTTGAAAAATTGTTATTATATTTAATAAACTGTCTTCAATTAGAAACTGTATTCAAACAATATTTATTTTATAGAATCGCAAAAAGCCTCTAGGAGACTGCACTTTCTTGTTTCATTTTCAGATTTGACTTGATCCCTTAACAGTAGTATCAACTCAGATATTCTTTAAAAATCTTACTCATGCAGGTTGTATTGTTTTCCTCCAAAAGCTGGTTATCAGCACAGGCACAAACTCTGCCTCCAGGAATGGCTAAACAAAGAGTGCTGCAGCCTCCGTTATTAATACGACAAGCATTATCACCTGTGAAAATAAAAAAAAAAGAACTTTAAAACTAACAGCCATGCTAGAAACGGAAGACTTTTTCTTAGAACATAAGCATGTGAAGAATTTTTTACAATTGTTTTCCTCTCATTTTAGGGACTCATTATTCTCATAGTTTGGTTACTACAGGTTATAATATTTAAACAATTCTAGTTAGTTGCAACAACCTGTAAGAATAATAAAAAACAAAACAAACCCCAAAAAACCCCAAGCAACTATAACTAACACCATCAGCTCACAACATTCTATACCCTTTTTTTGACGAGAAGAAATATTACAAGATATTTTTTACAATGTGGCTACATGCACACAGTAGTTTTAAGAAATTAAACAATATATAAAGGAATATTATTAAATATATTGGCATCTGCACATGTTAAAACAATGTGACTACAAATGCAGACTAAGAAAAAAAGAGAGGAAACAGATAGTAAAAGCATAATGAGCTCTATGGCAGACACAGAGGCAGATACTCCACTACTCTTTTCTGAACACATCTGCTATTTCTCTGCCTTCTTTCTTCTGTGTTATTGTTTCTTCCCAAAAGCTCTCCACTGTTCATATGAAGATACGGACAGCTGTCAGGTGTTTTAATCATCTACCAAGGACTGCTGCATGCTCACTACCTCATTTCTTAGGCAAGCAGACTTAAGACCAAAGCCCATTGAAGCAAATGTTATAATTTCTGTTTGTGTCACTTCGGTCACAACCTAATTGCTTAGATATGCGCTGTTGAGGACATTCAACTTCTCATGCTCAAAGCTCTCATAATAATCTATTCCCAGACTTTTTTCTGACCCTACTCCACACATCACTTCTTAGAAGCAAATATGTCTACAGTCCAATAAAACCCCACTGAACTTTAAAATAAATTTGGGTAAAATAGTTAATACAGAATGCTGTGGGAAGCCATTGTGGTACTTTCATTGGGCAGGGTGTGAGGGAGATGGCAAGAACACAGCTGTACAAACAGGGTAAACTGGAAGTCTCTATGAACTGTGAGGGCTGGATCACAATTTTAAATAGAGCAGTTCCAACTCAGACTAGGCACTTAAAATGCTTTATTGGATCTTGACTTCGTGTTTTAGACTATGACAAAACACTGTACAAAAAATGAAAAATGTCTCCTTTATTACATCTATGCTCTCCAAAATCCAAATATTATGAACAAAACATCAAAAGGCTAAGAGTTTCATTTGCATCTAAACCTTGGGAAACCTCAGGCACAATACTACATCAGGAAAAGTAGCCTTGAAACTCTCAATATCTTTACAGGGCCACCCATTATTCAAATCAAATGATCTCAGTAACACAAAGATTTGAGAAGATATCAGAAGCTACCAAAGCAAAAAAAAAAACAAAACAAAACCCACCATGACACAATCTTTGAAAGTGAATACAAAATTATAGAGCACAAGTCAAGGAGAGTTGTAATTATTTAATTAAAGAATATACATGAGTTTGTCAGATCACTAAAAAAAAAAGGATAAGACTATAAAACAAAAGATTATTTAAGGAAAATACAGAAAACACTTTGAAAAGCCATGATGATTCTGAAGCCCAATGCAAGCCTAAGATAAATAAAAACAAAATTAAATCACTAGATCAAAGTCAACCGGTTCATCTTGAAGATGAAATGTTCCTACTTAACCTCATAATTGGGATCACAGCCTACGGCAGTGTAGGTTACTTGCCAAGTAAGTGATAAAAGAGAGGGTGAAAACAAGGAAAATACCAAGTATCAAGAGTTAAAGCAACAACACCCTAGATAAATAGGTTTGTAAAGTGAGCTTCAAGGAAGTCTTGAACCTGAAGGTGCAATGAAACCTTCAGTCCCGTCAGTCTTGCTGAAGAGCCTCTTAGGCTAAAGTGTCTCCGGAAACGCAGTACAACAAAAAGGTTAAATCTCTTTACTGAGTAAGCTGTGGAACTCATTTAGCTACCAAGTATTTATGAAATTAAATTTCCTTGACTGCTGCCCAATGAAAGCTATTTTATATGGATGTTCTTAAAATATTCCCAAAAATTAAAAAACTACTTTCAAAGCTATTATAATAGTTTTGTTTTTCCTAACTTTTATAACACTGCTGCCCTGCCACTTGCATAAGGTTACATTAGGCCGATTCCGTTTTAATTTGCTAAAAACTGGGCAAGAGTTGAAACAACAAGATACTTGCATCTCAGTCATGCTTCTCAGAAAAAAAAAAAAAAAAGGAAACCATATGTATTTGTTTAATTGTCTCACTGAAAAGATACTATGATGTATCCATCGCTGCTTAGAGATAATTGTACTTCTAGGTTTTCATGAGTATTCATTTATGCTTGTACCTTTCCGTAAACCCAACTTCAAGTACTTCTAAAGTTGTGTAAGCCTAGTTTTAGGATTATACAGGTAGCAGATCAAATGTAGCAGGACTGCCAATACCTTAGTGTCTCTGATTTTCTATAGGAACTGGAAACACTGCACACGTCAAAATGACAATCTATAGAGATCATTAATCTCTATAGATTAATAATAATGACATTAATATTTAATGGTCATCTTTGAAACAGTATTTTATTTATACCAATTCCTGATGTTCAGTTTTATGTTTGGCAGCAGATATTAATAAGATATTAACCAGAACTATGTTTTCATTAAAGAGAGCGGATTCAACAGCTCATCTGAACACTGTATGCAGTAAATGGATTTCAAAATTTTCTTCAGTAAAATACATTTGTATAGTAGCAACTAAATTTTCTAAACAACATCCATGCAAACTTATGGCCTTTATCTCATTTCTTTACTGATATAAGTAGCAACAACTATGGATTTTTCCACTGCTCTCAAAGGTCACTTCGATTCTGTCTAGTAGCACCACGTACTTCCAGGAGATTAAGTCATACAGTGCTGATGTAGACCAAGATGGGGGAGAAAATTACAAAAAAAGGAAGAGACAGACAGGATCTATGATCTTATTTGAGAAAAGGTAAGTGCAATAATAAATTTTATATCTATGAGTCAATGTGTATATGTTATCTCTTCTATTTTATACTTTCACAGTATGTCTTTGACACACAAGAAAAATGGCAATAAAGGCAATGTAAACAGAAGCAGTTCAGACAGGTATAATACTATGATTCACTTTTTATTAAGTATGAGATGATCAATTTCAACATCAATGGATTGAAACATTGGAAAATATCTTTCTCATGCCATCACTCATATTCTTTTTTATATTTTTATTCATCTAGTCACCTCAAAATACCAGGAGACTGTAAGTGAAAGTATCTTTTTACAGCAGACATTTGGAGAAATTGAAAGTTATAAATACCTTGCTGTTTACGTGGATCATAAATCTGGAGCCCAAACAAAGGTGGTTTCTCACTTCTTAACAGTGTCACATTCCTTGTAACCAGATCCAACTGGAAAATTGATCCATTCATGTAATCTGTCCAGTAAATACAATTTCCGTGATGCGATAGCCCAAAAGGATGATTCAAATCTTTTCCATTGTAGACTACCTGCAATTAATTAGTGGTAGGTGAACACTAACAAGGATAAAATAATTATTAATTTTTCTTAGGTTACACTACAGAGAACGTAGAACAGGAAATAGTAGGACTGAGAAAAGCACTGTCCCCAAATATAATGACTTCATGCAATGAAATGCGATAGTGTAAAGCTGTTCTATGCACCAGCATCAACATCTAACTGCAAAACTTGGTATAAATTCATTTTAAGTGTCCCCTGTCAGATAACACAGAGGAGTGTAGGCAACTATGCAACCATTATGTTCAGTAAATATCTACCTTCTTCCCTAGGAAGGAAGCTTGGTTGTTTTCATAACCTTGAGTATCTGACAAGTATATCAAATAACTGCTTCTTTTAAAGCCAAGGATAGTGTTTATGAGTTGCTTATTTTCGTTGAAGGATGAAGTAAGTACAGAGATTCCCGGCTTATTTCTGTGAACTTCCTCTCTAGTTTGGGTTGTGACAACTTAAAAAACCAAACAAAAAAAAACCATGCCAGTTTGTTCCCAAAATAAGACAAACTTTCTTCCATGTACCTTCTGCTTCTGGTTTATTAACTCATACATAAATCTACAAATTACATCATCCCAAAACTTGTCTTTATTTTATTCACAAGAACTGCAACTACCACTACATAAGAGCTGTCTGATAAACAGTTTAAAAATACTTCAAATCCCTATATATGAAAACCAAAACTTTAAGTTACCATCAAGTAAATTACAGTAATTATTTATTTTAAAAAGACACAGAAAATCGCAGAACTCTAAATTATCTACTTTTAGGAGCCCTGCCTTTATAATTCATCATAGCAGCTGCAGCTTGGAATGACTTAAGTTCCAGTCTTCTCCTGCTGGCTGGGGTCCTTGCTCGAACTAATGCCCTACTGTATATTTCTGTCTTGCCTCTAGAAAGAAGGAAGCAGTTCATCATATGCCCTACTTTGCCTCTAATTAGAGACACAAACCCAAGAGAACAAGGAGATACAGCCCACTGAAATACAATTACTATGAGGTGACAAACATCATCCCCCTTTGCCCTTCAAATTTTCTCTTTGGTCTTTGAATTCTTTTGGTCAGAACTCCTCAGTTAACTGCTTTTGATCAAAATTAATCCATCAGTCAACCATCCATGATCTACTGGTGGAATTTTATTTGGACTTCCCCATACCCAAAAATCTTCACTATACTGACACTTACAGAATTAAAGATGCTGTTGACCCAGCTATATTTTGACCAAAAATATCCTATAATAAAGAACAAATTAGTCAGCATCAAAAGCAAGTATGTTCTGGTTATTTTGTCTACATAAATTTCATTCAAATGGCTATGCATTTTATTTAAATCACAGGATTATAGAAAAACACTTTTCAAAACAACAGAACCATTCTGTGACACACTTAAAACCTGTTATAATTCACCAGTTCTAGTCTTCACCAAAACCAGCAGTTCTCACTAGTAATCCATGTCACCTGCATGTAACCTTCCCAGACCTGTTCTGTCCAGGAACGTTCCAGAAAGTGTAGCATTGTTAGTAGATAAGGATCTGTAATTAAAAAAAAAGTCTTCCTGCCAATGCGCTTAGCCCTCTCCCGCCTCCATTACAGGACTGTAATGGATTTTGGGGTAAAAGTAGAAGCGCTAAATCTAAATCCTAACCTAGCCATTACGACAAACTGCAACACGACAACATTAGTACAACTTAACAACAGATCACTCAATATAAAGGTTTTAAAAAGCAATATTGAAGCAATATGAGGTTGTACAGGGGTGAGTTCCAGGGAGGACTTTGTCTGTAGTTACTGCTTTCAGTAGTAGAGAGTTGTGTATTGGTCCTATGAAGGCCATCATGCAGAGGGAATCATGAGTGAAGGGAAAATGAGAAGTCACATTTTGTGACAAAATCCTCCCACAGAAGGACTTAATGCCCGCCACTCTCAATTAAATATGGAGTTTCAGTTGTCAGGGTTCTAATTTTATGGAGCAGATGATAAACGTTCCTCAGATTATCACTCCAGTCTAAGCTTTATCTGTTTTCCAGATGTCTTTTCTGTGCTTGTTACTTCTACAAAACAACACAGAACTTCTGTACAGACTTGTATCTAGCTAGTATAGCCATTAGTAACAACTAAACAATCTCTCTCCATCTTTGACTGCACTTGTTGAGTGTTTCCCCTCTGCGTATTACCACCAATGCTCAAACAGGACACTGAGATTCATCGAAAGCAGCTTAGTCAGTGAAGTTAAATGAAAGCTGCTCTCTGGCAGAGCCAAAAGAAGTTTTTTTCTACTGAAAATCTCTTTGTAGCTTCATAGCTCAATCAAAATGTAACTCATTGTCACATGAGAAAAACAGATTAAAAAAAAATCAACTTTTGTATCACTTTCTAAAGATGAAAATTTTAAGCTGTATTATAACATTGCTTGTTTCAACAGAGATGACACTGGACATGCCAGAGGGTTATGCAGACTTGAAAAAGCTTGAAAAGTATTTTTAAAATAACATATTAAAATCCAGAGAAAGAGCACGCCTGTGGCAAAACAGCAGTATTTTTCTTTTACCTTTCTGTCAGTGCCATTCAAAAATATCCTTTCAATGTGATCATAATAGGCATCACACCAGTACAATACATTGGCATGATAGTCCAGAGTTAAACCATTTGGCCATAGCATCTTTGATGTTACAAAAATCTGCCGACTGTAGCCGTCCATCCATGCCTTCTCAATTCTTCCCACACTGTCATCTATTTCATCTTCTTCCCAGTCTGTCCAATACATCCAGCTGTGAAATTATAAAAATGAACATTCAGATGCCATTTCAATCATGTGTATTATACTGTAGACTATTATCAGAAGTTTGCAACACTTTATCCACAAGTCTCAGGAGAGACTTTGACTTTTGCTTGTTTCTTTCTACTCGTATTTCTACAACGATATTTACTTTCTCTGTGTACTGGTTGCTGCTGAAATGACAGTGTTTTGCTCATATTGTAATGAATTACATGAATGGGCTAACAGACATGAGAAGTGAAAGAATTTTTAAAGACTTTATCTAATCACACCAGAATTACAATTTTTTTTTTTAACCAGCTATTTTATTGAATGTCACAAAGTTCAAACTTTTACTGTTTTTTTTTTCTTTTATTGCCAGATCTAGTTTGCTTTTATGATGCAAATCTGCTTTTTATTATGCTTAATGCTATCAAAAAAACCTGCAATATATGATTTAGTTGCACTCTAGTTTTACAGCTACAGGATAACCTTGACATTCTGTGAACTTCACATCCCACATGAAAGCAGTTAAATTACTTATAAAAACTATTATGAGCACTCTATCCCTCAAAAAAAAAAATGTTTAGAAAGATAGATGACAGTAAAAATTATTTGAAAAATACTTGGTAGGCAATTTTAGCACAGTTTTATGTTCTACAGTGCATCAGTGTAGATAACCAAAACAACTCTAAAAAATAAATACCAACGCTACTTTGGAAAAATTAAGCAAGCATTTAGTAAGTCATCTACAGAACACACCCTATGTTTCTTTTTTTTTTTTTTCTTCTCCTTATTGAATTAATCTGATTATCGTATTTTATTACGGAATTTGCTTGTGACACCTCTGGCATCAACAATTTAAATTACACAACTTAAACTTATACAAAAGCAGAAGGTAGCAAATATGCTAAGAAACACTTTTGTCTTTTTTCTTACCTTTCTTCCCCCAAAGGAAAAACAGGCTCATGGGAAGAAACACAGAGAAGCCTGTGTGCAATCTACAAAGCATCTAAACAGCATTTCAGATAATATGACGCACAGTTACATCAATGTGCTGAAAACATTTACTAGATAGTAGACATTTACTTTTGAAGTCAAATCAAGAATTTCAATTATTAAGCATTAAATAGAGGAAAAAAATATCAGATGGATCTTAAACTGATCCTACTTGTTAAGTTGTTGTGATTTAATTGGTATTTATGTACCTCACTTCTGGTTTCACTAGATTTATGTTTCTGAAATAACTTGTGTGATCCTAACCCACTTAATGTGTCTGTACTTGGAAGAACAAAGTCCTGGAATTTAAATTCTGGATTTACAAAGGAATGAAACACTGAAGTGAAAAACAGTTTTGTTTTCACATCTGTGTAAATTATGCCAATCATCAGTCAAGAAATTTATTCAAATACACTTTTATGTCTAAGCATAATTGGATCAACTTGGTTTTTATGTAAGAAGTTGGAAAATATTTTTTTCTTTAGAAAAAACTGCACCATCATTACACAGGTTTACAGATATGCAAATGTACGTTCTTTGTTTCTTTTCTGCCTCTTCCAAGTCACCCACCAGAAGGTTGTTTTGGGTTCTTTTAACGTCTTTGTGAATATATGCTACAAACATCAACCAATTTTTAATCCATGAGGCTAATAAACTTCATTGAATGTTTGACTCAAACAACTCTAAGTTTAATCACAGAATTATAAAACCCGTACACGCCCTAAAGCTCAAGTAGAGATGCAGGTCAGTATGGCATTTATTGGAAGACAAAATATCTTTAACAAATATTTACATGACTGCTTAACAGCAATTACTGAGATTTTCTCCATTAACTTTTTGTCTGTACTTATTCTAGTTATGTCATAAGCTAAAACATGCTTACAGTAACAGACATTTACATTAATGTGCTTTAATTGTATCTCAAAATGCAGCTAATGCTTCTACATTGGTTAAATCAAGATTAATATTTTCTAAATATAATTAAAGTGTCATAATAAATGTTATCCCTCAGGAAAAGCTTCCATGAGAAGTATAATCACGAAGGGCATGCTATTTTATTAGAAAAGTGTTTTATATAATAGCCCTTTTCAGACAATACATCTTCATATACTATTTCCTGTGCCACGCATTTACTGAGCTGGAAAATTTAACAGAGTAATTGTAGGTATGGTTATGGTTTGTAGTCTGATTTTACATCCTTACTATCTGACCTTAATTAACTGTAGCCCTTTCACAGTCACTTCCATTCCTCAAAGGACAAGCTCAAAAGTGAAAACCTGAGAGTGTAAATACATTCTAGTACTAGGAAAACAGCAATCAATCCGGCCACACTAGAATTACCTGCCTACGTCATTCTCCGGTGACAATTCCCTGAATAAATGTACCAGTGAATTTTTAGGTGAACCGTAACTATAGCAAACTAATGTTCTTTTTATTATTCAGCCTATCACAATTAATTATGCTAGTAAGTATTGAAAAGTACCTGTCTCATTTAGTTTTGTAAACCAATGTGCACAAGGATATGGCTATAATTATCTTCAGAAATTGAGACTTACAAAAAGAAATAAAGGAGAGTATTATAAAGTTCACCTGGTATCAAAAATGCATACAGGTCTGATGCACTCAATTTGTTTGAGAAAAAGGATTAACTGGATATAGGTTCAATAATGTCTGGCCATACATGTTCTTCCAAAGGCTTCAGGCAAGAATGCTGGACAGCAATTCTACTGCTGTAGAATTACAGACACCTACATGACTCTACAAACCCCACCCTATGCAAAATTTAATCCCGTATTTATACGATAAAGACAATAATTTAACAACATAAATTAGTCTACTTCATACCCATTGACAGGATCAACAACAATTCCTCTAGGGTGGGACATGTCTCCCTCCAACAAAGTTTTTCTGCTCTGAGCAGCTTTTTCCAGTCTGGCTACAGCAATCGTTTTCCTCTGGCCATCGTTTGTCCAATAAAGATTATTTCCAATCCAGTCCACTGCTATGCCTTCGACATTATCAAGATCTGTTGAGAGAGAGAAGGCAGTAAGAAGAGATTAATATTATATGTTTATGTTCTAACATTATCCATTAGTATAAACAATGGACAATATATGGTCCATACAGTTAAATTAGATTATTTCCTTGAATCTGAATTATATTTGCTGGCTCTGTCAGAATTAGTCTTTGCTGAAAACACCTTACAAAAGACCAAGACTGGTCATAAAACTTGTGTATTAAACCATATGCCTTCATAAGTTAACCACAGCTGGCCCTGGGCAAATCACTAGGTAACAAAACCCTACTTGAGTTTAACTCTAAACAACAATATCTCAAATCAAGAACAGCTTCCAGGATCAGCTCTGGCACTCTAAATTATCTCGCTTTTACCCAAATCTAAAGTTTCTTTCTTATTAAAAAATATGGGCATTCAATCTCCGGCAGCCCTGTCCACACGTCATCCCCAAGCCCCCTGACAGAAGCACCAACCCTTCGTCTGGCGCCTCAGAGGCGGCTGGGACCGGCCCTGACCAGTTCGGGGCAGTTGGCGGTGGCGCCTGACAGAGGTGTGAAGGGCGGGAAACCGGGTGCTGCCTCCCACTGCCTTCCGAAAGCTGAGGAAGCCACATTTGCTTCCCTTAGTATCCTTTCCGAGGTCATACTTTGGGTGGAAATGCCTGTTTTAATATTGCCTTGGATGAAAATGTAAAAAAAAAAAATCCCCCAAAATCAAACAAAAAACCCCATACTACTCCCTCCCCCTCCCCAAAATACGATGCTTCTTGACACTACGGATTGTATTACTGGTTTGTTGTACTTGGATATACAATCCTACAGCATGATTTCAATGACAGGAATCATCAGGACTTAAAAAAAAGTAATGTAAATTGCTTTTTTTTGTTCACATTTACACTGGTAACACCACCTAGACCCAAGCTTTCATCAGATTAATTCTTTGTAACCAGTGTTGATGTCACTTTCAGAGTTTTTGAAATATTTTCTCAGAACAAACAGGATGCAGAGAAATTTTTATCACAATGTGCATAAAAATTAAGGTATTACCACTTTTTTTAAGAAATACAGATGTGACAAAATTACCGATCCTACTTAAATCCCTCTTACCCCTCATACGCAGGTGAAAATCTGCTAAATCGAACACAGCTGTTTGCTATTTGAAGCGTCCTGACAGACATATGTAATTTAACTGTCAGCTTTCCAGACAACGACTTCACAGGAACTCCTGAAGTGCTGGTTTGGGCCATTTCAAGTTGTTATCGGAGTCACATTTAGTGCAACGGCATCGTGGCACTGTGTTGCCATCATCTAAACCTTCCCTCATATTTCTCCACCAAGGTGCCTCCCCATACTATGACCACTAAGTACTAATGGAAAGGTTTTACTTGCTAACATTCATGCCTTCAGCATACCTGTGAATTTTTTGCAGTCTATCAGATTGTTTTCCTTGGGACAAACTCTTCACTTATAATATTCTTTTAGACCCCAAATGTTTTTATCAAGTATGACTCTAATAATCTAGATTATTATTATTCCCTACAAGAAACCAGTAAAATTATGTGTGAGGGGCAGGAATGCAAAGCTCTTTTACCAAGTCACACTCTACATAACTTATTTAGGGCAGTAAACTTTCTGTTTACTACAACCCATGGACAGCATGGTATGACATCAACAATACCCTCAGATAAAATATGACAGTTTTACCCAATAAATGAAATATTGGGCACTTGGATGCAATAAGAGCACCTATAAAAGGTGTCGTTACAATCTCAGTAGCACTGGAACATGATAAATTACTTCACAGCCTTTTTGCAGAGTAGTTCAGGATTCAGACTAGAGGTTCTGTCTAGCTTTAAAGCTGTCTATAATTCCAAGTGTGTAATCATCCTATCCATGCATATTGATTATGTTAAATTAAATACTCATGGAGACGTAAGTATTTCTACAAAACTGTGATGTATTTCACACTGGCTAGGTTTCATTTATTGTTTGTTTTTTTTTTTTTTTTTTTTTTCTTTAGCCCTTGAACTGCAAACTACAATCCACCACCCGCAGTGACCTGAACAGTAACAGGAATTAAGGTTAAGTAACGTCTCCAGACGCCGTTTTTAAAGGTGTATTCTTTGAACACGGGAGCAATTGAAGCCTGTCTACCTCTGTATTTGTGTGTTCTTTTGTTTTTTTGACTACTTATCTGAAGAATAGTGAAATTTTTTCTTCTCTTTCATTATAATTCCATTTCACAATTTCTGTGTTCACATGCCCAGCTGCAAAAATCAGTAAGAGTGCACTTGCAAATCATCAATCCTTGATATCTCCTCTCCCTGCTTTTAAAAAAAAATAGGATTTTAATCATACTTGGACCTCTGCCCTATATATCAAATTAAGCTGAAATAATTCTGGAGGTCCAAAAGATATTACAGAGAAACAAAGGTACCCACCAAAGTATCAACTAAACCTTGTTCACATAAGAAACTAGACCTAAATTTAGTAAATCACTCACAAGTACAGGGATGACACTCCATCCTGTGAGACACAATATGAGAAAGTTGGGGTGGGGGGGAAGGGGCATATACTGAGGGGTTTTCCAAAATGTGTTTAATATTTTTATCCTTATTTCTGATACACTTAAACATCACTATAGTTTTGGCGACCCATTTTTCCTTGTGATCTAAAAACATTGAAGGAAGGAATGGTGTCAAACTTCACTCTCCAGATGTAGAATATGAAACAATAGTATGGTACATACCTAACCCAGCAACCACTTAGTCTGGCAAGAATCATCCAGTCCAAGAACAAAACAACCATGAACCATACAGAATGGGCGAGATCAGTGCCAGTAGCTCACCCACGTTTCCCAGGATGATGGACACTGTCAGTTTTATTTGTTGTCTCTCAGTGCCTTTGCTACATTCTTTTAAAAACGCAATGCCAAATTCAGATGGATCTCTCTGAAAGTGGGAATGTGGCCTTTGGTCTGGGAGTGCTCAAGAATGTTGAGAAGAGAGAAGTGCAAAGTATGGCAGGGAAAAGAAGAGGGCATCTCACCAAGAACCCAGGATCCCAAGGCTCACAGAGAAGACTGCTGAACAGGGAACAAAGACAAGCTTCAAGAATGAAAGAAATGTCCTTTACGGCTCAGAGAGGTCTCAGCAGAGTTTGCTCAACTCAAGAAAACACTGACATGACTAAAATCAAGCTTGAGGACAGAAGACAAGGAGTTATTTGTTCAAAACCTATTCTTTTTAATCCTGTCTGACCTAGACATTTTGGGTTAAACACAGCTTTTATACTAATAAGATCGGCTTTTTAATGAAAATGTTGTAGGTTTTTTCTTCTTTGGGAGACAAAACTGTCCAAATATGGACTGTATTAGTATCAACAGCAAAGGTAAATATTAGATTAGAATACCTCCTAAAATTTACAAGAATATTGTTCCAAGTCTATTCAGGTTCATATAACAGCTACTGATCTGAACTACCATGCATTCTGCGGTAATTTTGGAGCATCCATATTTCTAAACCAAATGCACTCGAAGTAAAAAAACTCATGGTAATGAGACATTAAATATATCAGAAAGTTTCAAAATAAAGGAAAATTCTACAACACAATCATATAGACATAGTTTACATTCTTTATTGTTATAAAGTTCACTTTTATTTGGCTACATAAAAGCTTTAAATACATTCCTTACTTTTTAGGTGGGCTTCAAATCTAGTAGTAAACAGGAACAAAATAATGGCCATTCTGGTTAATCAAAACTGATTTGACCACAGTGAGCCAGGCTTTCTGGAGTGAATCTCTTTTAACATAAAAAGGATGAGGTGAATTAAATACCATTTTGATCATTGTTTACTTAATAATTGAAAAATTAACATATCTAATTCTGGAAATACTAACAGAATTTTACAATGAACAGCAGTATGTGAGCTCCAAATATACTGAATATAGATACAAGATTTTTAAAATACCTGGTATTTCTAGAGGCAACAATTTGCCACATTGGTTTTAAATGTGCAAGAGATTATAAGCACAGCATGTAATTTGGTACAGAATGGCCTCGCTCATCAATGTCAGTTAGAGAATGTATGCTAACAGTGCCTAAAATACTAGATTAGTATGAAAACTTGTGAAAAAAAAAAATCTTCTAAATAGCAATCAGCTAAACAGCTTCCAAAGATCTTTACAGACTTACTCTGGCCTTGTTTAAGTAAAAAGTTAGCCCTTGACCATCTTTGCTAATATTTACAAGTGAATAATATAAAACTTTAAGGCTCACCACAACCCGAAACAACATAAGAGGGACGAAGACAAGTAAATAAAACCCAGAGTTTGTGTTTATGTTAATTCAACTGAACAACATTTAAGGTCTGTTTTGTTCTTTTTTTTATTTTTTTAATTTAAAAAACTGATTTCACATGCAAGTTTGAAACCTTAATTATAGCAATTTTTGTTGCTGGTGAAAGCACACCACTATTGCAGTCGTGCTGTCAACTCAAGGATAGGCCATGCTGTGGGCTGCCAAATAGTTACCAATACTACACAGCAGCTTGTTTCCCAAAGTGAAAAACAAGAAATCACAGTTGAAACTATATGTGAAATCAAACTCCCGCAGTGTTAGGTGCTCAGCGTTCTCCATTCCCAGTCAACAGCTTGTAGGATCAGGCTCTCATGTAGGTAAACTGTAATTATCTGAGTTACAGTGTTGTTGGAGCTACCGTATCTGTTCTTGCAAAACCTGAGAGTCACAAAAAATGACAACTTCCAGTCTGAGAAGTGACACCTACCACAGACAGAGTTCCTTAGCAGCATGCTGTTCAGAGCGAATATTAAACCACCCCCTGACACACCTGATTTTCTCTAGTAGCCTTCCACCAAGGAACGATTTAATCTGTCCCTGCTGAGTTCTTGAGAGCTGACAAGAATAAAAGCTGAGGTGGTATGGCTGGAGGCCATATTAATTTTTCAAATCATGAAAAATACATTAACAAGTGTTCTTTAAACATACTTTAAAGTTATGAAACTACACCAAGTTCTAACTAACAACGTAAGCTCCTGGGGAAGGAGTGGGGGGAGAGTAACAGTGACATTTTTTTGGTCTTTGTGAGTATTAGGACCACCAATAATACATCATTGGATAATCTGTAACTCTTCTGACATTGCATTGGTATTTTTGCCATGTTGTACTTGGAAAGAGTAGTAATTCTAGTCAAACTTTATTTAAAGAGCCTCTCCAATTTGCTGTTTTGGTATACAATGTTTATTCATATTTTCATGTTTGATTAGACTAATCCCAACCTGTTTGACACCTTTCAGCAAGGATGCTCCTTGGTGCCACCTTGTAAAGTTTAAATCTACATACTGCCTGCTCCTTCCTCTGCTCCACATTTGGATTACTGCGTTGCAAAATAAAACGCATCTTGTTTAGTAAAAGAAGTTCAGCAATGGAAGTTCTGTGATGTATATTATCCATATCCATATTCACAGTGAAATGAAGAATTACTAGATTGACAGCTGAGTATTCATTATTTACTCGGACAGTTGCCTTTTGTTAAGTAACCACCAATACAGGGTAAAGAGTTCCTGGCAACTACTACGGAAGGGATCTTTGTGAACACTCTAAGGAGAGACCTTACACCAAAAAGCACCATATCACTGCCAACTGGAGATAACTGAGATGGGTGGATTAAAACATGGGCTATACACAACAGGGAATTAAAATCCCTGTGCTAAAACAATGGTATTTTTGTTACATTCACTATCTCAAGCTTCCATTTAAAAGTAAAGACATTAAACTCTGAAGGCCAAGATTAATACTCATAATGCTGATTTTCCTGAGTACTAGGAAATAATGGATTTCAACTGAGGCAGTTGTTACCTGCTGAAACAGTCTTTCATAAAAAGGGTCAATAAAAAAAATACAGGTTGGCAAACTGGAGGTTTTATCACTGAAACAGCATTTAGTATGATGGGATAGGACTCTAGACCAGGCAGATTCTGTAAAGCATAGTGGGAGAGGTAGAAACTACAGAACTGCTGGCATTTTCCCTCATTGCTATAATAAATGGTACAAACTTCTTAATTAAGCTTCTAAAAAATGTTTGTGTTTTCCTGTTGCTTCCACATACACAATGGGAAATGCATCAGGAAGACAATGCTAAATCACCTACACTTCTTTTTGTTTTTTTTTTTTCTTTTTTTTTTTCTGATGAGTTTGCAAGCACTACAGGAAGTTTCACTCTGCCAAACTACTTGAATAAGCTCCAGAATTCACACTGTCATACAGGTTGGAGTGAAGAAGTCTTAAAGTCCACAAGGATATGGGATGGTTCAGTGAACGATTACAAAGAACCACATTAAGGATCCATTGCATCTAACTACTGAAAGAATACAGTGGAGATCTAGGAGTTACTGGCGGGGATAAGCTTAAATCGACAAAGTAAGAATTCACAACAGAGCAACTTAACCAAACTTTACATTTCTGCACTCACGGAAAATAAATAGAAAGTTGTAAAAAAAGTAATACCTCCAACTCTGTTCAAGGTCTAGTTTGGGTCTGTTTTCCATGGGAGATTTAAATAAAGCTTTAAATTATCTGTAAATATTAGTTCAACTTTTCCTTAGTGAGATTCTCTGAATGTCACTATCACTTAGCATTGCCTACCATCTTTGAGGATTGTTTCTCGCTCTGTGCCATCAATTTTCTGTCGTCCAATTAGGAAACTGGTAGTATCAGCAAAGTAAATGTAATTGGTTTCAGCATGGAAGTCCAGAGCACGAGGATTGACCAAGTTTTCTATAGGGATCATGTATTCATCAGATACTTTGGTATTCAGGTCCATTCCCCGTATTATTCCTGGGCGTCCCTTCCCATAAAAAAGAAACAATTCATTCTTTGGTCCTGCAAAAGAAAGATTACAAACATAAACAACTGATGCCGCCTAATCTTCTTTACAGTGCCTAATGTCACTGTTTAATTAACTGGCACAATTAGTGGGGGAGCAGGAGTGTTATTCAATACCAAAAATTAAACTTTCATATATTCCGAAGGTATCTAAACTCAAGAAATCTAGGTAATTACATTACCTTAATTAAAATACAAATTACTTCAGTGAGCTGCTTACATCTAATTATTTTTTTTCTATAAAAGTTCACACTGAAAAGCAATGCGAGATCACAGAATAACTTTGCATCTACTGTGACATAGACATATATAGCTTTGCAGACATTTAATTTTACAATTCATTAACATCTATCAGGGTAATGCAGACCATGACTGAAGTAATCATTAAGACCATAAATTCCAGCAAATACAAACCATAATTTTTTTCACCTGAAGCTTCTCAGAAACAAACACGACAAAAGATTACAACAAATTTCTTTCAAATGGGAAGAAGTCCAACAAATCAACATGCACTGTTCTTTAATACTGAGATACAAAACGTGGATAAAAATATCTCCTATTTGTGAGAAGAATTTAATCAAGAAGGGTAATTACAAATAACTGAAGCTTAGTAAGGTGGTTATCTTTCCTTAATATTACTTATAAATATCCTTAGATCCTTATTAGTACTATCACGATACCTCTTAAAATTCTGTAAGATATGTGCTTTTCCTAATGCCTCTCAGGGCTTTTTGTTGGAATTGTTAGTGAAAACTGCATGAGGTTTGACTGAGGTCAAATATATTCATCTACTAGTATCCATCAAAGTATCTAATTGCATGTCTTTCATCTGAACTAAATGAATGCTGTTTGATCAAGAAACCTGGCAGAAACAGGTGTTCCCCAAAACTTTCAGGACTGTCTTATTGGCTGTAGGTGACCAACAGACTGTATATACCTAACGTTAGGTAGAACCATAGATATTCACAAAGTATTATGCTTGACTTATTCACAGGAATGATCTGCTTCTGAGTGACAACTTGATTTAGCAGCAATTAGATGTGACAAACTATTTAACAACATTTCAGTATCTATGTGCTATGAGAATGCATAGTGTATAAAGGAAGAGTAAGACTGATTAACTTAAAACTTCGGGTGATTTTTACGATTCTTCAAACAGCACCCCAGGTTTAACTTGTCGCTTCTATGAACTAAGCCCAATCAAATCATTTTAAGGGAAAAAAAAAGTAGTACATAAACAAAGTAACAGGTATATGTTGCAAACCAAATTTTAACCAAAAGCAGCCCATGTGATTTCTATCGTTATTGATAAGCCTGTTAAATAACACCCAGAACTATCCCCTGGAATACTAGCAGCTGTCAGACTCTTTGATTTAAATAACATACTTTTGCATGACCTGCCATCGCTCCCCAAGATGAAGCCAGTCCTGCAGCGACAAGTTCGTGCTTTGTAGTTGTTGCTGAGCAGACAGATGTGTGAACATCCCCCCGGCATTCCAGATGGGTCCACTTCACATGCGTGGCTTCTGACTACAGTGAATGAAAAACAGCATGATTGAAATCCATTTAAAGCAAGATAATTACATGCATCAGCAGGTAGAAAGTTTAGACAAGAAAAAAAAACAAGAATTTATGTCACAGTAAATCATCCTCCAGAATATAACTACAAAATAAGCTGTTTTGTTAAGATGATACCCAAAACAGATAAGTAATCCAAAGGGCCATCTTGTGGCTATCAAGCCCTTCAGCGTTGTATGTCATCACCCCCTTTTGAAGAAGCTTTTGCACAGTGTTTGCCGGCAGCACTCGCCTGGGGTAGCTGACCCTTTTCCTCTTTTTTTTTTTTTTTTTAATTTTTTGGTTGCTTTAGTTCGTTTGGTTGCTTGTTGTTTTTTTGAGAACATAGTGAATCCCATGCCAACATGTTTTGCTGTGCATTCAACTCCATTAGACAGCACCTTTCTGGGGCAGATACCTGTTCAGAAACTAAAGAACAGAACCAGCCTTGTAGCTTCTTTCAGTATCTGTACAGTTGGGACATAAATCCAGCTGAAGCAGACAAAGAATTCCTTTCCCTTGACTTCATAATTTAAAATGCACTGTTCTAAATTAGCAGACTAATATATCAAATTGAATTTTTTAAACTCTTTAAAGTAAATCTGATGAGAAAACAAAATTTATCTTGCTATCCTACATTTACTAAGCTGGCTTACAATGGTCCAACAGTATTTTATCTCAAAAATTCTGTCTCCTTTCCCTCAAGCGTTTTTGTTTTTGTTTTTCTTTTTTTCTTTTGTTGTGTTTTTTTGGTTTTTTGTTTGGTTGGTTTTTTTTTTTTTTTCCAAGTAATCAAGTGGTTTAGGGTCGATAGTGTTGAAGGTATACAGCAACTCTACCAAGCTGCGACAGCCTTTACAGTGAATCTTGACAAGCAACAAACATGTCCATTCAAAACAAAAGAAGCAGCAGAGTGAACAAAGGGCAAGAAGAACAGAGTAATCACAGGATGTAATAGAAGAGTACATTGTGCTCATGTCTCTCCTCTACTCAACCTCTCTGACTCCCTCAGGGGTACAAGGAGAGGGCCTATAGCAATGAGAGTGTCTGCAGCCTCCGTCAGACACAGACACCTGCAAAGCAATGCCCTCAGCTATAGGGTGTGAATTAGTTTACCCAGTCTACACCAATTTAGAGTTTGTTACCACTTCAGAAACTGCTCTGAAAGCAGTCAGTCTGTTTAATAACATTGACGTTGATCACCAGAACTGATGCGTTAGCTTCTCTGTTGAAACAGGGTAAGGATTGATTGCTACCAGTTACATAAAAGAATTCTCCTCAAGTATTGCTGTAATCATTTTGGATCTTGCTATCTTCACAGGAAGTTCCCACAAATCACGCTGGTGTTCTGAATGCACAAAGTATGAGACCAGAGCCATGATCAGAGTCATACAGGACTGCGGGTCTCAGAAATTCCTATTTTACCAAAAATTCTGAGATTATAAAAAGTTGTTCATTCTAGATGAAAATGAAGGTTTCTTTCACAAAAGGCAGAGATGGAACCAGGCCCAGAGACACCAGGAGTCTCTGAGGTCTGAGACCCAAGCGCATGGACGCTATTGAACATCTAACAATTCTGAGGGTGTTAAATTCTGAAAGCGTTGAGTGTGTGGAGCCAGAAGACTTGCAGACCAGGGCTCTTTGGTGGATGTCCAAGCTGAATGCTCAGGAAGCAGTTGTGTTAGGAGCTTAGAGACACAGCGAAGCTGGCAGTAAGCGCATAGAAAACTCAGGAGATGAAGAACTAATTTTCACTGCACCTTCTGATACATTTTTCCAGAAGAACCTTTTTAACCACACATCCGTCTAATATCTGGTTTTACATTTCCCAGAAAGAGGAACTTTGATCTTACCTGCTGTTTGAGTTCTTTTCTGGTATACACGGATCTCTTTAGTATTGTCAAGTCTAGCAAGAGACTGGACATCAGTGCCATTATATCTGTTTATTCGTAAAATGCTGAGGTTATCTGAATTAGTTGTATATAAATAGTTTTCAAATACTGCCAAACCACGAAGATGCCTAATCTGGAAAAAAAAAATATATATATATATAATTATTTTAGCTGAATATTTTAGGTATATCTGTGATTTGTAAACATCAAACATTACTGTGAATCATACACGATA